GCCCGGCTGCTCAGGGCCCCGGGAGAGCCGAGGCCGAGCCCCCAGAGGCCACGTGCAGTCCCCTGTGGCCACGGGCAGCCCCCGAGGCCACGGGCAGCCCCAGAGGACACTGCAGCTCCCAAGGCCATACACAGTCCCCGAGGCCACGTGCAGCCCCCCAGAGGCCACGTGCAGCCCCCCAGAGGCCACGTGCAGCCCAGCGCCCCGCCAGGGAGCCGTCCGGCCGCCTTCCAGGAGGGCGGGGGGTTGGGGAGGGCCCTAGCTGGCCAAGGGACACTTACGGCTGGCTTGTCCCGGTGAGTGTCCACCGCGTCCACGTTGAGTTTAATGGTTTCAACCTTGCACCCTGAGGGGACGGAGGGCAGGTCTGAGGCCGAGCCTGAGGCCCTGCGCCTGCCGAGAGCGAGGGGGTTGTGGGGAGCCCCGGGAGGGGGCCGCGGGGAGGGGCCTAGGCCGCAGAGGCGGGGGCCTGGCCCAAGGCAAGGGGGCCCTGAGGGTGCCCGGGGCTGGGATGGGCGCAGGCCCCCACCGACCCGACCGCGAGGCCCGGCGGGTACCGTAGGCCACGGGGGTCAGCCTGAAGATGGTGTGCAGCGGGCAGCGCAGGTACGGCAGCTCCTCTGAAAACGGGGGGCTCTCAGGGACGCCGGGGTGCAGCGCTCTGCTGGGGCTGCCCCGGCCCCAAGGCTGCCCTTGGGGAGGAGGTGCCAGGGCACCCCCGGAGCCCCCGCCCCCAGGAGCGGCCGCCGGAGGGAGCCAGCGCCCTCCTGGGCCCCGGGCCAGCCCCACGCCGGGTCGGGCAGACCCTGGCCGCGCCCCGCCGCGAGGCACCTGCGCCCTTGTCCAGGAAGTAGGCCAGGAGGCAGCGCATGACCGCCTGGTGGCAGATGACCAGGACGCTGCCCTGCCGCTCCAGCTCCATGATGACCGGCTCCAGCCGCTGCACCAGGTCCTGGTACGACTGAGGGCCGGAGGGCGGTCAGGGCCGGCGGGCGGGGCCGGGCAGGGCTGGGTGTGCGCAGGGTGACCAGTGGGCGGGGCCAGAAGCAGTCAGGGCCGAAAGGGCGGGGCCAGAAAGGCAGGGCGGGGCCGGTGGGCGGGGCCAG